CTCCTCCTCCATCTCCTACTATATCTCCTCCTCCATCACCTCGTACTCCATCTCCTCCTCCATTTGCTACTCCATCTCCTCCTACTCCATCTCCTCCTACTCCATCTCCTACCCCATCTCCTACTCCATCTCCTACTCCATCTCCTACTCCATCTCCTACCCCACCTACTACCCCATCTCCAACTCCATCTCCTACTCCATCTCCTACTCCATCTCCGCCCACTTCATCTCCTCCTCCATCTCCTACTCCATCTCCTCCATCTCCTCCTACTCCATCTCCTCCTCTATCTCCTACTCCATCTCCTCCTCCATCTCCTCCTACTCCATCTCCTCCTCCATTGGCTACTCCATCTCCTCCTACTCCATCTCCTCCTCCATCTCCTGCTCCATCTCCTCCTCCATCTCCTAGCCCACCTCCTACTCCATCTCCGGCCACCTCATCTCCTCCTCCATCTCCTACTCCATCTCCTCCTCCATCTCCTTCTACTCCATCTTCTCCCCCATCTCCTCCACCCTGTCCATCTTCTCCTCCCCTATCTTATTCTCGTAAATCTATCACTCTGTCAAGATCAGTCGACATCGACGATTGTTGAACTAAAGGATCCGTTGATACTACGGGCCCAATCATTGATTAATTGATTGATTGATAAGCCAATCAATCAATCAATCAATCAATCAATCAATCAATCCGTGGATCTCGACGGATCCTTTCCTTCAAGATCCGTCGATATTAACGCATATGGAAGAAAAGGATCCGTCGACATCCACAAATTGATTGATTGATTGATTGATTGATTGATTGATTGATTGATTGATTGATTGATTGATTGATTGATTGAAAAAACAAGCGAAGTGACACCGACGTACAACTGACCAATGAAGTTCCACATTGCACAGATATGAGTTGGGCTTGTGCTTGACACTCCCAAACTGGAGAAATACCTTTGACCCAAAAGTGCCTGGTGATATCGACGAATCTTGAACGAAATGATCCGTCGACATCGACGGATAGATTGTTCGGTTGATTGATTGATTGATCTTTCTTCTTGTTCTTCTTGTTCTTCTTCTTCTTCTTCTTCTTTTTCTCTTACTTCCACCCCTGCCGCCGTTTTTTGCCCCTACGCC